CTTAAACCTTAAATCCTCATTAGACTCTAACACAATCAATTCACATTATTAAATCAACCAATAGCATGTCACGAGATACAATCACTCATAATAGGTTTAACCATCTCATCACACATCACATTGCATTCAAACACAATTGTTTCCATAAAACACATATTTTCTACCCTCTATCTCAGCCACATTGCAATATTTAGCAAAATACACAAAAATCAAAACACAATGAGATAGGGTAGAGTCCTCCTTTAACTCGGATTGAAGACCTACACATGAAATCAACAACGAGAAGGCTCCCCACATGAACTTAGTTTTAAATACATGGAAAGATCCCATGAGAATCAGGGGAAACCAAGAAAACATAGAATGAGGATGAAAAACTGAAACATTAACCATTAACCATTGAAGATATTTTGAAGAAAGAGATGAAAAATGAATTTTCCAAACCCTAACCCCTTCAAATATCCCTCTGGTCACAACACTCTCGCTACAACGACGCCCCTTGTCACTACAATGAAAATATCAAAGAAAACTATATTTTGGTTTCTGCAGAATCTCGCTACAGTGAGATTGCACCCAGAAATGCATCCCAAACTGTCGCTCTCTTGATGCAGTGAGAGACCTCTCGCTACAGTGAGAAGGCGACAGTTTCATGCCTTCCTCCCAAGGCCCTCTCGTTGCAGCAAGAACACCCTGCACCAGACACTTAGCTAAAATTTCAGTCCAATTCTAATAATCTATAACAATTCTAGTTCCACTATAATTAGCATACATGCATGAAGTCTACATCATCACATGTACATATATTCTCATTATAACACACACACACACACACACACACATATATATATCAAATACACAACACATGAAAATCTCCATACACACTTATATTAATAATCAAATAATATTATAAAATTCAGGGCGTTACAACAATATGACTTCAAGAATCAATCCAAAGTTGGCTGCTTGATATTATAGGCCTTAGAAAATTCTTCAATCAATTAGTGTTGTAGCTTATATAGACTTCACCTTCCTACAACCTCTAGTATCCATCTTGTTTTCCATGTGTCTTTGTTGAAGAAAGTAGGTTGGGATTACCAAGTGCAAGAAGAGTTGGCCTAAGGCTTAGATGAGGATTTTCAAGAGTTGTCAAAACCTTTGATAATTCTAGTTGTCCAACAAATCAAGAAGTTTAGGTAGGTTATTAACCAATGACTTATCCAATGAAAAGGAAAACTTGTTAAAGAAGTAACTTAGGAAGAGAAATCTAGAGCTGTCAAAAAGGGTCAAGGCCCTACCTAACTCTAAAATAATCCATCCAGCCCTAAATATTATATTAATTAAAAATAATAATTTGACCCTAAGTTATTTAACCTATAATATGTGGGTTAGGATGGGGTTAGCCCTGACCTAGAAATCTTATCCAAAATCACAAATTTTACCCAAATCATTCCAGATTCAATTAAATCATAGGAACCCTAACTCTCCACAGGCTCTGCTATTCTTCCAAGCTTAGTGCCTCATCCTGCTCCTTTTTCAGTGCTATGCTTCTCTTCCACTGTTCTGCTCCTCTTCCATTGTTTCACTCTTCTTCCACTACTTCCATTAAAAGGTATCTCATAACTCAACAATTTATTCCATATTTATGCATTTGTGTTATCTCTCAAATACTATGTTATGATAGAAGAGAGATAGAGAGCTTTTCATAGTCTGCATTAAAATTTCATAACTCCTCCTTAAATAGTAGAAGAAGGAATCAAACAAAATGATAAAAGATAAAGAAAAAGGTGAAAAGTTTAACCAAACTACAGAACTGGAAACAAATGTTCAAACAAATTACATGAAAAGGAAACTATATACAAACAAAAGATATAGATGGATAGGGTATCTTAATTTATGTAAGATAAAAAAAAATTAAAGCAACAATTATCTTAATCCTAAAATTAGCAATAAGTGCCAACTTTTTTCAAAATAGGTCTGTTAATTTTAGAAACCTTATTCAAAATTTACAAGATAGTACATTTTTTTCATGGTAGGCATTTTCATCAGAGTAATACTAAGTTTGAACATACAAGTTTCAATGAAAACGTTACAATCAAATTAACAATTTAAGTATTATAAGATATATAAAAAGTGTATGATTTGAGCTAATTTAAATATTATCTAATATTGAACTAACCATAGAATTAACATTATAAAAAAATCAATAACTAATAATCAAGTAGAATACAAGAAAAACAAATAAAACTTATTCAAAGAAAAAAAGAAAAAAGATTTATAATTTTGTCCATTCATTCTTTTATCTCTTGATTTCTTATAAGTTAGATTATGATTAATTTTTCTACAACTAAAAGAAATGATTAAATGCTACCCAAAATTCTAAAATTAAGTGTGTGATTTATAAGGGCTATGTGTTCCCCTTTCTCGTTCCTATCTCTTTGTACCCCTGAAAGGACTCAATTAAAAGCTTTCTATACTATAATAAAAGATTCACTATTCAGATTTGTTGTATTCCTCAAAAAATTATTAAGTACCTGAGAGTTGTAGTACTCAATGCTAAGACAGCTTAAAAGAGGATCCTAAATACACTAGTAAGAATAGAAAAAGAAACAAAATCTTGGTAGGTCCAAAGCTAGTGATTTCAGGTTCATCATGGAAACAATTAGATTACATTTTCACACAATATTTTGAGCCATTGATGTGACAACTTGTTATAAGGGAGGGGCATGATGGTGAGTTTTATTAATGGAAAGTTTCATCAAATACTTAGTGAACATGAATAGTAACAAAGATCAAGACAATGATTTCAAATATTTCATATTTTATTTGGTGTTGTATACTCTATTTTTTTCATATCCACCTTGTCTTTCTTTTTTTCCATTACAAATTGCCAAGTTACTTGCTTGTTTGTGAAAATTTATTACAACCTTTGTTTTAAATTTGAATAAAATTAATTTTAATATATTTGTTTTAAATTATTAGCTGTAATTGTAATACTCCTATCACTCATAGTAATCACTCCAATCAGGAAGCATTGCTGTAGGACCCTTGGTGATGTCATTCAGTGTTCATAGTGACTACGCCAGGAAAGTGTTATTTTTACTATAAAATAGATTCCCAATTAGAATAGAGGGACCTTTTTTCTATTTTTGTAATTTTTCATTTTATACACTTTCAGAGAATTAGGTTAGGAGTTCTGAGCGGCTGCCAAGAGCTTGACGTTATAGTTCTTTCTTCCCTTCCTCTATTTTACTCTATTTTTTTGTTTTGTTGAACATTATTTTGCTTGTAATGTTGAATCCAATCTTCATGGAAGGCTAATATTTGGAGGTTAATTCCCAGTAAGTTTATAATGGTTCTTGAAATATGAGTTTGATTGCTGATATGAAATTTCTTCTTATGGATTTTATTTCCCTAATTTCTTGAGAGCTGAATTAGGAATTGAATAGGGATTGTTGCTTAATCAACCAAGTTCCTTTCTTAACAAGGGCTTCATAGTTCAGTTTGCTTAATTCTGAGTTAAGTTCTAAGTTTGCTTAATTCTAAGAACCAGGAATTAGAACTTATGCAATTTGCTTAATCTTGCATGAGAATTTAGGGTTAATTGACGCTTATTCCAATTAATTCAATTTTGTGAAGGATTAGTAACTAATTCTTGATTAATTAATAATTGAACCAATGTGAATGAACTGAGAATTAATCTACTTTGTTAATTGATTTTCTTAAATTCAAATTCTTGTTTTACTTGATTTAGTACCTTAAACCATACCAAAACTACCCCTATTTTCTGAATTTAATGCACACCACATGTTTGATGTTTAATCTCCCTACCAGTATTCTAGGAGGATGACCTAAGTTAACTTAGCCTAGTACTACATTTAAATCACTCATATTTTGATAAGATAGCGACAATCTTTCATTAGGTATTTTGACAAAAAAAAAATTGAAATGACTAATTTACTCTTATTTAAGATTTTCTTTTTTGAGTTTCCCATGTTACTTTTCCCCCCTCTCTCTCTATGTCTGTCTACATGTGAATGATTATACTTTCTTTATTTGCTTTTTCTTGTTACTTGTAAATTCATGATTTAATATTGCTATTGATCTTAAAATTACTTGTTTGGTCTATGATTCTAAAATATATAATCATGCTTCAACATGTTCTCGTGTAATAACCTCAAACTTAAAATATTATTGATTTATTCTATATTTTTTTAATTTGATTATTAAATTAATGAAATAAAAAAATATTATTTTTTAAAAAAAGTGTGATGTTAATTTTAAAGAAAAGAAAAGCAAGAAAATAAAAAATAAAAAAAGCTAAAAAATTAATAACTTTTAGAGTGAGAAAATGTTTAAAAAATTATAAAAATAGAAATATTAATTTTTAGAGATAAAAATATTTAAATTTGTATTTTTTTTAAAAATTTAAAAAAGAGAAAAAATATGAATAAAAAAAAATGAAAGAGTAATAACATTGTTTATATATGATTAAATTCTCTCCTTTTTCAAACTTACAACTAAAGCCTAAGATGTGAGGGGTATATACTAGGAGAAATAGAAAAAAGAGTAAATGCTAAAGGGGAGGGAAAGTTTTAACTATGATTCATGGAACAGTCTCCGCAATTGGGTTAGGTCGCCATTTCACCTAAAACTTTAAGGCAATAGGTGAGGGGACACCATCTCTCATACACAAGTCACCTTCTCTAGTATTGGATAAGGTTAGACATATATTTTACTTGACTTGTACTTAGACTTTTTTTTAATTGACTCAACACTTATGAGAGATGAAATAATATTACCTTTTTGGTTTAGGGTTTAGTAGGATATTCATCCTGTGCAATCTCTAATTTCAATTCAATAAATATACCTATTAGTGTTTATGCGCATTACTTGTTCTATGCAGTTGATATCAGTTTGTATCAGGTTTGTAGGATGAAAGAGGCACAAAAAAGAAATCCGACTACAACAGATATCTATATAATTTACCCCTTTTAATTGGGACTTCGCCAAACAATATTAACCTGTTTGTTTTGATACAAGCCATGAACAGTGAATCTTCCTTCTCAACCATGGAGTTTATTATAGTCACAAACTGAACGCGGTTGAGATCATCAACATTTATTCATCTAGGATATCTCACGGATTAAAAGTTGACAATCTTCTTTGCTCTGAAGCATTCCACAGTCTCCCTGAGGCTCACTTCCAAAGGAGTAAATTCTATTCCCAAGTTCTTTGCCTTTTCTGTGGAAATTTGATATGTTGGCACATAAGGCTCATCGACCTCACATCTGATAACATTGTTGAGAAATGATAAAGTGCAAATGATATTAGAAAAATAAAAAACGAAAATATTTAAATGCTGAATACACAAAAAATAGAAAAAGAAAGAATTTTTCAGGAAGTTCGTGTCGGGTAGAATTAAAGTAACCAATTGCCCGTGATTCTTATGCATGGAACTCAACATTTGTAGGATCTTATTGATCCCATGGCGTGTACTGGGATTTCAAGGCTCTCCCTCCCCTCAACCACAGGTAGTAGGGCCTTCACGTTCAAAGTTGTTATAATTGACCTTATCTGAACAAGGTGCATCATATTGCCATAAATTTTGAATAGAAAATTATGCTTGAATGGCAATGACTCTTCGAATACACACAACTCATTTGACACCTTTAAAATGAGAAAGTTTACTTTAGAGAGAAACGTAGAATATGTCAACCTTTAATGAAAAAAATTAAGGAAACCGATTTTAAGTTAACCAAATCTAAAAATTGTTATATACTATGTAACAACAACAAAATAAAGCAACCACAATAAATTAACATCCATACTAAATTAAAATCAACCTAATCAATTTCTCTGTTTTCCACAGTACACCAAAGCAAAGGCTTATATGCTTACCAGGCCCATAGTTAATATATTTTTCCCTTATTAGGGGAGCAAGGGGGATAAAGACGCAACACAAGTACAAACAGAACGTTCGGAATATATGACATGGATATGAACTGTCCAGTGGTAGAAAGCTAAAAGGAAGGAATGAACAAGAGTGCTGAATATGTAGGGTAGGAGTTATTTTCAGTGCGTACATTGTATCAACGAAAACTAATAGCATTAGATATAATAAATATGGATTAAAGTAAAGGAATCTACTTTCGTTAAATGATTTAAATAAAAAGGTTGTTTTTGCAATCATTCATTAAGATCTCAGCATTCATTCAGTTTTGGCATACATTGAACAAACATCACTAACTCAATTTCAATGCAGAATCTTTTCATTTTCAGCATAAGTTGAGTTTTCAAAATGCCAGTAAAGCCAGGAAAAAAGGAATCAATAAATGGGGATCCCACTTCTCGTTTTATAAAATTAAACTTACTCATCTGAAATTTGTAATGTAGGGTACAGATCATGTAAAATCCTAGCAAGTTCAGAGTAGTGTATGACTCTCTCAACCAAACAGTATCTTCCACTAGCTGAAGCGATCTCATATGCCTGAATATGGGCATTAGCAACATCTTTCACATCAACCCATCCAAAAACTTTATTTGGAAATTTTATACCTGCATTAAAGAAGTTAAATAGTTATTCTACTAGGCAAAAGACAGCTCTTGTTTTGGGGCAAAACTGGAATATAATTTATGCACATAGCAAATCCACTATTATTTTAACCAAATTAACAAACAGATTAATCAATCCAGAACCAATGAATGACATTAAAGACAAGTGATGAGATGTTAAGACAAATAGGAGGGAGAGGGGTAACACTTTCACAATCACTAGAAGAGCTCTGGCCTTTAATGTACGAAATGCCACTTCAAATATGTGTCCAACATATCTTATATTAGCATAGACCAGTCTCAGTGGTCTCATCTTCATTTTCTTTTTTGGAAAAACAAAATGATTGGACAATGCTTTAGAGCTATAATGTCATCTTTTTCTTTTTCCAAAGTATATCTTTTCAGTTCTTTCTGTATTTTCTCAATTTGCTATAAAATAATTACTCATCTGTTAAATAAATAAGAAAAACAGCTTGACAGACTATAACTTGGGTGGAAGTATGAAAAAATGATGGTATCAACTATCAAGTTTTATACTTTTATTAAATATGCATGAGATAGTTTCTGTCTGAATCTTACTAAAGAGATAAGTTTGTGTCTAATAATTTTTTTTCCAACCTTTTCCCCGCAACTTTTGAGTACCAAACATCCCGATCTATGATAAAACAAGATAAGAAAGATAATGATCAAGGCTAACTTCATATATCGGTTGAGAGATTAATTTTTTAAGGATTTATTTGTCAAAATATTATTTTTATTAATTGACTGCATCGTTCTTCAAATTTATCTGAAGAAAATTTAGTAATCCAAAAATTAAGTTCATATCAGTCTTAACTGATACAATTTTTCAATTTGAAGTTCGAAGGACTAAACTGATATAATAACAATCTTTTGAGAAACAAAATATTAATGTAACAATTAACTTCAAGATAGTTAAAACACTCGCAAATAGTCCACGAGTAGTATTAACTTCAACCTAACAGAATTTTCATACAGCACAACTTCATGGGTAAATAATAATTACCATTTACTATGTTTAAAATTGGCTCAACACTTTCATTAACCTCTGGTTGTAAGAGAGTTCCTGAAACCATTGTTGGATTAATACTAATAATGTCAATGTTGTTTTCGTTTGCAAATTTCCAGGCAGCAGCCTCAGCCAAAGCCTTTGAAAGTGTGTACCACAACTGAAGACAAATAAAAAATGGCAAGAAAGTTAGTAAGCATGGTTACATACTAAAGAGGACAAATTATTACATTTGTGCCTATTGAAACAAAAACATTAGAATTTAGAAGTTATAATGCAGTGACCAATGTAGTTTTTCAATGAAAGATATTTTTTTTTCTAAACTGCCTGTTTCTCCCTTTAATGCAGTTTTGTCTCTTATGGGGAAACAGGGTAGAGAGGAGACAAAGCCAAAAGAAGAGGAGTGACGAAAGAAGAAAATGAAATGATTGAAGTGTTACACATTACCCATGTGCTTACATAGAGAAGCAACGTGTCACATCGCTAACTTCCGAATTAAACTGCTGGGGTAGTATTGACTGCTAATGAATCAATCTTACAAACTAACTAATGGTTGACCAAAGTCAACCTATTAGCTACGCGAGGTAAGTGGAAACACTGGCATCTCTGGGAAGAAATCTGATCACTCATACTCTTCCTCTAAATCCTTTCACTCAATGTTAGAGCTATAATATAAAATCATTTATGTGTCTTTGTCTAAGAGAGAAAAACAGAGAGATACTACAGAAGAATAGGAGACAGACATGATTAAATGAGAGAAATATGACCGACCAAAGAAAAGAATTCCAACTGTGACTACTTTTGTCCTGTTAAAACAAAAATAATATAAATTATATCCTTCAAGATCCAGTGAAGTTCATTTGAACCTATTAGTATTGAATTTTACAAGGTAAGGAATAAGCTTTGCACTTTTTAAACATGTTCACAATTTACACTAATAATTAAATATACATTACTCCTCATGAAATCCCCTTTTTTCCTTTCCTCCTTTCTCTTGCTATAGCAGTTGTCATGGCTATTAATAATTTATTTTCTTGTACTAATTGTATGGCTTTAGCAGGGCTAGCAAAAGCTACTCAGTTTACTAGTAACAGTGGTAAAAGAATCAGTTTTCAAAAATTATAAGCGTAAATAAATTTCGGGTTAAAAGAAGGTAAAGACGAGGTGAGATTAAGATTTTCATAACAATGAAATATCAAGGACACCAGATTACTTTCACCAGATTCTAACATTTAGGTATGACATATACAATTATTGGAAAGCAACTACTTTTTACTCTGTTCCTTCAGGGAAAAGTAATGTTTCCTTTGCAGTTTAAAAACACTTCCAATTATGATTAACAAACGCACATTTATGCTGTTCACATGTAGTGGTAAGATACATAAACACTGTTTAGATTTAAAAAAAAAAAAAAACATGACATTAAATTTCCCAATTTTCAACAAACTACGTAATAATCACACATTCCACCTGCATGAGCTTCAGGTTTTTCATTTCTAAATAAATTTTAGCAAAAAAAAAAGAAAGAAAGAAAGCACGAACCTTTAATTCCCTACAGATATCTGGATTCGAAAACCATGTCTCATCAACAACTACTTCGGGATTTCTAGGCTTGCCATTAAATAAAACTGCAGCTATAGAAGAAGTTAAGATGACTCGTTTGACAGATGATGAATTTGCACATGATTTTAGAACATTAAGAGTTCCCTTCACTGCAGGATCAATCACTTCAGTCTGAAATAAGGAAAACAAAAGTTAACGGGCAATTGATCTGTTAAGAAAAGACAACAACAGGGTAATTTCAACTGTGAACTGACAAATACAAAATTCTCAACGGATATTAAATAAGCAGACGCAGTGAAATTGCAGAGCCTTACATTCTTAATGTCCTTGTTATTACGAATGTCGATTACTTTAATTATTTTATAAAAATGTTTATTTAACTTTTTAATAATAAAAACTATAATAAAAAATAAAATAACTGGAATAAACACTTTTTATGATATTAAAAATTAAAGTAAAAAAATTATAAAATCATAAATTAAAGTTACTGTAACTTTTTTTTTTTGTTTTATTTAAAATGTCACTTACTAGTAATACACATGTCTTGAAAAATCGATTAATTTTACTAATTATAATCATAAAATAAATAATTTTATTAAATACAAAAGTTATTATAGTAGTTCAGTAATAAGAATTACTTTTAAAATAATATTAAGTTATTGAAGTAATTAATTAGTAAAAATTATTCTTAATAAATAAGCGTCTTACTGAAAATTAACCTGTGGGTCGTTGACAACGAATCGAACAGGGGAAGCAGTGTGAAAGACACCGTCACAACCGTCAATAACAGAGTCAAAGGAGCCTTCCTCTAACAGATCTGCTTTAAACAGCTGCAGCCTCTCTTCGGCACCCTCAAGTTCAACCAAGTGCTTCACCTTCTTCGGATTACCTGAAAATATGGTATCATAACATAGCCTGTTTCATATTCGTTAATGGCAGTAAAAGTAGTAAAAGCGAAGCTTACTTGGATCGCGAACAGTGGCCCTTACGGTGTAACCACGTTGAAGAAGAAACTTGACGATCCATGAAGCAATAAAACCAGATCCACCCGTCACACACACCACCTTCCCTGTCTCGCTCCTCATCTCGGGGTCTATTTTTTTTTTTTAAGTTTTTTTTATTAAATGGAGATTCGGATTGCGTGCCACAAAATTGAAGGTATTCAAACTCAATACAATTTTATTCAACAGAGTTTCATCATTCAAAGGAGAATTCTAATAAATGACAATTCTTGTTTCTCCACGTATTGCAAAAACTTCAAATAATTTATTCCAAAAAGATAAAGAGGAATAGACAAGTTATAAAGAGGCCAATTGGATAATCCAAGAATAAAAAATGAAAATCATTTATCACGAAAGAGAAGTTAGTTTCAAATATGGTTAGCACTTCATCATCCTAAAGATCTTAATCACTTATTAGGCACTTCATTGCATCTAGAACACAAAAAGGATTAATCATCTTACGATTACATCTTTTTTTATTGGTTAAAAGTTTATTCTAAGCAATTTAACTTTGGTAAGGCCATCCCAATCCCAAATTAATTTAAAAATTTTATTATTATTCTACTTCTTTTTATTACAATAAAAAATTAGATTGTATGTTGATCTAATTGAAAAAGTTTGTGTCACAAAAAATTTTAAAAATACTAACTAGCAAGTGTACTAGATAGTTATAATGAATAACAAAATTTAAAAATTAATATGAATGTCAAGTATCATCTTCAAGGATTAGGTCTATCAATTACCACTTTACAAATCAATAACTAGTTGAGTTAAATGAATTTATAGAAATTTTGAATCATTTAACAAACAAAAGCAATAAAGTGCAGAAAATTAGTATTACAGCAAAACAAAACAACAAATTTAGAAATGAAATGATATGTAAATGTAGTTAGGATTGATTTCATCTTTTTATCAATTAGATCTGAACTCTAAGTTCCTTAATTGATTGATGATCAAATTTTTTTATATAAAAAATATAATCTAAATTAAATTCAAAAAATCTTTATTCGCTGCTCCTCAATCTCTACAAAATCTCTGCAAAATCCCTGCAAGTCACATAATTCTACAGCAATCCTATTAATCTAATTATTCAAAAATTTAAAATTTAAAATTTAAAATTCAGAATTCAAAAATCACAAAATTCAGAATTTTAGATTCAAAATTAAATGCATTAAAACAGCAAAATTTAATAAAATAGAAATAGACGACAAAAATAACTTGCAGAATTTGACAAGTAATAGAATGCAATTTTTTCTTCTTTTTATTATTTAACCTTATTAATGACTAAAATTAAACATATCTAAATAAACAAATTAATTTAGACTTTTTTTAATGAAGAATTAATAGTAATTTTTATGTAAATATAAAAAATATTTTTTGGTATTATGTTAGTAATTTTTTTAATTTTAATGTAATCATAATTGGTATCTCATGATAAAAATTATTATGCTTAATTATGTTAGTGATTTAAATTTTTTAAATTAAGATGTAATTTAAATTTGTATGTAAATAAAAAAAATTTTCTAGTATTATGTTAGTAATTTAATTTTTATAATTTAAATATAATCATAATTTGTATGTAATTATAAAAAATCTTATAGTTAATTTTGTTAGAAATTTTTTTGATTAGGATGTAATTATAATTTTATAGTAAATTTAAAATTTTTATATTTAAATATGTTAGTAATTTGATATTTTAAAATATGGTAATAATTTGTATGTAAATATAAATAAATTTTTGTTTAATTATGTTATTATATTTAAATAAGTTCAAATTTGTATTGTAATTAGGTTAGTACTTTGATATTTTTATTTAAGAAATATGAATAATTTGTATTGAATTACAAAACAAGATATAGGAGAGTTGATATTGGTATAAATAATATAATTCTAAATTTAAATTTATGTCATTACGATGTGATAATAATTTGTTTATAAAAAGATAAACTATTATAATGAAGTTGATTGAAGTATTATTAATTATGTTAGAAAAATATAAACGATTATTAATGAAGTTGATATTTGTATCTAAATATTCTTTTTGTGTACAGATAGCATCATTCTCACGACAGAATAGGATTATTAATCTCACATCAAAGGATTCATCACTCATTCAATTTCAGAATATTCATGTCTCTAAACATATTTAGGATGGACGTGATTACCTGTTGTTAAGAGTGAGGAAGAGTCATAATATTCCTAGTAGATTAAAGGATATTCCTCAAGAATTTGTTTTGCATCTAGAGTTAGCTAGTTTTATTGGAGTGACTAACTTATCTCAATTTCTCCTAAACGTAGGATTGATTACTGCATTAGTTAAGAGGTGGAGGTCTGAGACACACATCTTCTATTTGTCTCCTGGAGAATGTACTATTACTCCTCAAGATATTGCTATCCTGTTAGGACTATGCATAGATGGGAGACTAGTTATAGCATCCACTTGAGGTAATTAGGCGCAGATTGTTGAAGACAGCCTAGGTATCAGACTAGGTCTAGATGCTTTTGTAGAAATTTCTTGAAGATGAACTGGTTGAACAAGCACTTTACTCATATTGGGATGCAAAATCAAAGTGCGTTACAAATTACTCGGTTTGGTAAGGCATATATATTGAGGCTCATTGGAGGGTTCATGCTTCCTAATCACTCTAGTAGCAGGGTATTTGTGAGGTACTTGTCTTTACTTGATGATTTTGAGTTGACCGATCAATATAGTTAGGGTTCTACAGATCTAGCTTTTTTGTACCAAGAGCTATGCATGACCACCAACATTGACTGTGTTGCTATTGGAGGACATGCTACGTTGATTGTGATGTGGGCTTGGGATAGATTTCTTTATCTAGCACCTAGTAATCCCTCTCCTCAAACACATCCCTATCTTCCCTACATTGTAAGGTAAGTTATTGTTTTTCTACGCATAGTTATATGTAACTATAACATATAATGTTGTTGTGCAATTCTTAATGATTGTATTAAAACATTACTTGCAAATGGTTATCACAGGGTACAAGAAATGGGAAGAAGGATGTCTAGTACTACAGATATATATTTGATCGTCTAACATATGATGAGGTAATACATATTTTTCTACCAAAATAGTCATTTCAATTTAAATATTATTATGGCTTTTTACACTAATTAGTATATTTTTTTTATTAATCATATTTTTATGTCATAATACAAATTGTATGGGTCCTGTATGATGTGGAGCTCATCAACATGTTGCTACCTATTTGTAGAGACGGTATGGACTTATAGAGGATGATGGTGCCACTGATATGTTTTTAGGCTTGTGAGTGGCAGCAACCTGATCGAGTGATGTGTCAGTTTGGTATAGTTCAACACATATGTCAAACCCATTTCTTGATGGTTCTCTTTCGCTAGTGTTAACGCTTTTAATTCCTTTTAATTTGTGTTGTAATTATTTGACCTATATGATTCTATATGATTGAGTATGACTATTGATAGACGATGACAAGTCGCTATCAAAACAACTAAATTTTCTAAATATTTTGTAGTATAAAGCCAAACCTAGGTCAATTTACATAGGCACGTTCTCAGCCAAATTCAATTTTAGGTTTTCTTTTTAAAAAATGCAAATAAAGTTTTTGGAATTTTTAAAAATTACAAATTAATTGAATTTAGTTATGAATAGAATAAAATTGAGTAAAAATGAATTAAGAAAAATCAATCTACAGAATATCAATTGCGTGTAACTCTGGCTATCACAATATCTAAAGGTTTAAATCCGCGTTTGAACAATCATCTAATTCAATTATTAATTCAATTGAATAATTAAATTGAATAGAGTTATGAATTAAATCAAATAATCATTTCACCTAATCCGCATTAATTATCAAAGCAGAGCATCAATTGAGTCCTAATTTAAATTCTAACAACAGAAAAGTCAATTACAATCGCAATACATAATTCTAAGATTAGAGAGAAAAAAGAATAAACTCAAAGCAATTTAGTGCAAAACTCAAGTCAGAATTACGGCATTTGAACTTTGCAGATTGAATGAGAGGTTTAACATTCCATTGAACCACTTAACCCACGCAAGAATGAGAAAAAAACGAGAGAGTTCGAGAGAAAGTAAAAACAATGATTCTTATTTCGGCCAAATCTCAAAATCTCAAAGTGTCTAATCACATCATACCCTAATTCAGAATCTTATTAGTCTATTTATAGATTCTAATTAGGGTAAATTAAGTGGCCAAAATTTGGGCCTCAATAATATCTAAAAGCCTAAATACAATTATTAAACATTAAGGGTCCAAATGCAATCTTGTAAAAATATTCAGCAAATCTGTCTCAACTTTGAAAAATCATAAAAAATGAAAAACAACTCCAAATCTAATGATACATGTATGCATTTTGAAGCCCTAGATGTGTAGAATCAAATGCAACTGGAATCATCCAAAAATGATATCTATAGAAAATGTTATGACCAAAATAGTAGTCAGAGGTTAGAATAACCAAAAATATGAAATTAAAGCATTTATTTGTAGTAACCTGCATTATCCCTAAACCGAAAATATGGAACAGTTTGATATGTGCGTTGTCTTTTTTATGAAGAAAAGTAACAAAGCCCATGATGAAGTAACCTGCATTATCACTATCTTTGACAATAGTGATTGTTCCAGAGATTGGGTGAGAACAACTTGTGCATGATCACTATTTTGTACAAAAGTGAACACGCGTAAGTCTGAATAGAAGAAACTAGCTGCACGTTACTCCTTTCGTAAAACAAAGTGAATACTGATAAATCCATATTTTTACTAGTATTTTACTATAGTTTTAATCCATTTGATAAGGAAAATATGTTGGAAAAAGCAGAAAAACTCATAAAAATGAAATGATTGAAGGTTTTCTTTAAATACATAGTTATTTTAGCATTTGTATAGTTTTTGCATAGAAATTAATAATTTAAGCATGTTTTTGTAGAAAATCCTGAGCAAAGTTAACGAAGATGGAAGATCAATGGAGAGATAAAAGAAAAGTAGCAAGTCTGGACTTAAAGAACAAGATTTATGGAGTTTGGGCTGGGCGTGATCACTCTTGCCAGTGAAAGTGAGTGATCCAGA